CAATGCCTGGCTCACTCACAGCCTGACGGATCCGTTCCAGATCCACGTATCCACCTCTGCTCATAATTCAGGCACCAAGGCAGCAAGCCCCCAGCGGAGACTCAGAGGCAGGCGGCAAGGAGGGGAGGCTGCACGTTGTGTCCTGCCTTGAGGCCAGTGGCCTGGGGGAAGCCTGCAGGTGGGCCAGCGAGAAGTGGGGTGTCCTGCGCGATTGCCTAGAAATGTTTTCTGCAGTCACCCTGGGCTGAAATTGGAAATGCGAGGGAGCAGTCACCAAGCCCAGGTTTCTGGGCCTCCTGCATTGTCCCAAGAGCCAGCACCTGGCTCCCTTAGGCAGGCCTCTTAACAGGCAGGCCTCTGGGTCTGTTGACTGTAGATCCAGGTCTGGCCTCCCGGCAAGCTGGAGGTCAGAGTTCTATTTTGTGTGTGGCGTGGCCATTTTCACTGGTACAGGCAGCATCTGAGCATCCATCAGATTAACGGGGAGACAGAACAAGCCCATGTGCACTGCAGCAAACCATCACAATGATCCAAACCCAAACTGCCACATCACTCAGACGTGGGAGAACGCCCAAGTGGGAGGGCAGGACAGTCTCCAGAGACAAATACACCTGTAGAGGAAACTCTAATCCACCAAGACCCCAAAACACTGGATACCAAGCTGGGCGGGCAGTCCCTGGCAGCCCCTCCTCCCAGGGTGAGGGTGGGAAGCTGGGACGAATGCTCATCCTTCCTGCCTCCCTCCCTTTCCTTTTCCTTCTTTCCAACAACAACATTTTGAGAAAAAAAGCAAACAACACAAAATTCATCATTTCACCACTTAGGGCTGACCATCCATTTTGGTTTATTCACATCATGTAAATGGCACCAGCACCGGCACCTGGCCCCAGAACACTTCACCGCCCTGAACACGAATATGGTACCTGCCAGCAGGTATTGCCAACCCCTCCGCCTGCAGCGCTCCTGGGAGCAAAGCTGTCAGTCACAGAAGCAGCCACTGTGTACCTTCATCAAGTACTTTGGAAGCTAAACCTAGCACGAGTTTGCTCCATTTCTCTGAACTCCGATGCAGAGCTTACGGGAGCATTTCGCCGCTGACCCGCCACCTCCTCATCTGGAGCAGCCCTCTCGTCCCAAAGACGATGGCCCGTGGCTCCTGCAGAACACCTGCGTCCTGAGGCCACCACCAAGGCAGCTCATCGGCCTCAAGATCCCAAGTTGCTTGCACGAAATGGAAATTTATCATCTGGTTACCTTCGCACAACTAAAACTCATAGCATCTTAGAAGCATTCCTAAGATCTAGCCATTCATCAGTTCCCTTACTCAAGGCTTCCTTCAATGCTTTAAAATAATTGCACAACAATTTTTCCTTCTCACACCTGGCCCTTTCTAACTCAACCAACTCAAGCAGCACTCCCACCATCTGCTTCTCAGGACGAAGAAGACCAGAGAGGAAGGGACCTCGGCTCTCTGAACACCAGGAGTGGGCCATACAATACGCTTCTCATTTTATACCCGTGAGTTTTAATCTTCACAATAGGTCTATGCCCGAGGTCTTTTTTTTTTTTTTTTTTTTTTTAAACAGAGGAGAAAATGGCTTGGTGATGTTATCTTCCCAGGATCCTACAAGTATTCAGTTTGGCTTCAGAACTCTTGCGATCTCTCTTACCTGAGCTATCTGGGACCGGAAGTGTTGCAGATTTTGGATTGTGGAATATTTGCATCCACATAATGAGGTGTCTTGGGGATGGGGCCCAGGAGATGTGTGTGTGTGTATTTCAGACAACACTACTAGTGCACCTATGTTCTGCCTATGACAAATATAGAATTTTCCAATTGCAGTACCACACAGCACTCAAAAACTTTAGGATTTTGGAGCATCTGGATTCCAGTTGCTCAGATCATGCAAGGGCTCACAGGGAAGGCTCTGGAGTTCCACGCCTGGATTCACGTCTTAACGCTACGGCCTGCCGTGCACTCTCGGACAGGTTACTGCTTCCTGCCAGCCGAGGTTCCCCCCTCAGTAAGGTGTGGAGAACAGCACCGCCTCTCTCGAAGGGCGGGGGCTGTGGGCATTAAGTGCAATCACGCTTGTACGTCTGCAAGCTGCTAAGACGTGCTTTCTGGGTTAGCGGGAGTCTGGGTTTCTAAGGGCACCTGCCGTCTCCATCAGCAAAAAGCAATGATTTCGTCATCCACTTTCCTGGCTCAGAGATGGCGGCACAGGGAAAAGTCCCCTTACGCTCTGCTTCAGCCAAAAGCAAACACAGAAATTCCTAAACTCTGAAGGAACTCAACACCATGCAACCACAGCTGAGTAATTAATGAGTGTGTGACTTGGTTCTGAGGAGACGCGAACGAGGTGATGTCTTTTCTTTAATGGCGTAGAGTCCTGCTCATTCTGAGTTTAAAGACAGAAGGCAATGTGGTACAGCCTAAACATGAATGTAAATGTTCAATCATTTATTTATTTGAGGGGCCGGCATCATGGTGCAGTGGGCTAAGGAGCTGCTTGTGATGCCGGCATCCCTTACCAGAGTGCTGGTTTGAGTCCTGGTTCCTCTGCTTCCGTTCCAGCTCCCTGCTAATGGCCTGGGAAGATGGCCTGAGGGCTTGGGTCCCTGCTGCTTATGTGAGAGACCTGTGTGGAGCTACTGGCTCCTGGCTTTGGCATGGGCTGACTTGGCAGCTGTGGCCATTTGGAGAGTGCATCAGCAAATGCAAGATCTCTCTCTTTCAGTTAAGTAGATAACTCTTTTTTAAAAATAGAATATATAATATTTAATTAACTTATTTGAGAGGCAGAGAGATAGAGATGGAGCTCCCATCTGCTGGTTCACTCCCCACATGCTTACAATGACTGGGGCTGGGCTGGGCCAAAGCCAGGAGCTGGGAGCTCCCAGGTGGGTGACAGGAACTCAATTACTTGAGCTGCCACCACTGCCTCCCTGCCTTCACTACACTGGGAAGCCTGGGCTGACAGATGAGCAATTAGCAACTCTGGAATTTTGTAATCAAATTTTACAATATTAAAATAACCTAAGGGAAAAATATTATAGCGCAGTGGTGAAGCTTCTGTTTGGGACACCTTGCAGGTGTATGAGTCCCGGCTCCTCTGATGCCTGTCTGGCTTCCTGCCAATGCACACCCCAGGGGTGGGGGACAGCAGATGATGGCTCAAGCACTGGGCTCCATGCCACCTTTGTGGGAGATCCAGATGGAGTTCCAGGCTCTTGGCTTTAGCCTGGACTAGTCCTGGCTGATGTGGGCATCTGGGGAGTGAATCAGTCGATGGAAGGCTCAGCCCTTCCTCCCCCCTCTCACCCCCTGCTCTGCCTTTCAAATAAAAAACAGAAAAGTCTAAATAAACTATGTCCCAAGGTAAATGACTGTTCTTCCCACTCTCCATTGGAGTTAACATTTAGGGTGTCAGGTAACTCTGACATCAGAAAGAACTTGGTAGGGGCCAGCACTGTGGCATAGAGAGTAAAGCTGCCGCCTGAAGTGCTGGCATCCCATATGGGCACCGGTTCGAGTCCTGGCTGCTCCACTTCTGATCCAGCTCTCTGCTGTGGCCTGGGAAAGCAGTAGAAGATGGCCCAAGTCCTTGGGCCCTTGCACCCACGTGGGAGACCCAGAAGAAGCTCCTGGCTCCTGATCAGCTCAGCTCTGGCCGTTACGGCCAATTGGGGAGTGAACCAGCGGATGGAAGACCCCTCTGTCTGTCTATCTCTCCTCTCTCTCTGTGTAACTCAGACTTAAAGGAACACAGACTCCCAGAGAGCCTGCTCCCCATCTCAAAAACGGGAATAATAATTTCCACTGGGTCCGCCTTACAGGATTTTTTTTTTTAAAGACGACATTAAATAATGCAAGTGAAATTAATTTGTAGCTTGTAAAAGGCTCCAAACAAGTGAAAGGAGAAAGATTTTTTGCTTTTAAAGAAAGAGTAGGAAGAGAGACGACCACCTCGGAGACACTCAAACGCTTCTGAGTGTTTATCTGTGCAGTCGGTCACCAACCGCTAAGGACAGATGGTTCTGGAACATTTCCTCCACACATGCGTCATGCTGGTTATACGGGCCTGGCTGCTGTCATGCTGTGTTAGAGCCCATTGAGGTGTTGGGACATGCTGCCCCCAAGGTGTCCACCGCGGGGGGCGGGGGTGGTGTTGCTGGGCAGTTACAGGATTGGAGGTGGGAAGGATCAGGGCCCTGGAGATTCTGAGAATTGAAAGGTTGGACAGAGAAAGGTGCAAACAGCTTAGAATTTAAAGGGCGGCTCAGAGATGGCTTTTCCCAGAGAGCGGGCGGGGACCCCGATGCAAAGCCCTGGGCGGGTGAATTTGTGGAGCTACGACGACGACGTGCAGCTCTTCAGAGCCTGGCACCTGCTTACATCTGAAATTCATCTCCTCCCCCAAACACCATGGTTCTGCCCCCAGCCTCCCCCTCCCTCCTTTATCTCCATTTCAATCCCTCTGAAAGTCTGGGTCCAGTTATCTCTGGTCTCCAACACCTCTCCCTGCCTGCCTCTCTGGGTTACGCACCTGCCACCCTGACATCACGCATGGATTGGCCTCTTTGGGGGAAAAAAAAAAGTCACACATCGTGTGACTTTTTTTTTTTTTTAAATGGAAAAAATAAGATCTTTAAGTTCCAAGCTGTCTCCCTAGGAGGAGAGAAGTGGGGGCAGGAGAAGCAAGGGCAGCTCCAAACTGGCTCAGACTTTGGTTATTGGCGGTGGCATTCTCAAGTCGCCAGGGGTGGGGACAGAGGCTGTCAATCAAAGCGGGGGTGGGAAGAGACAGATTCTAAGTGGAGAGAAAGGGTGGGAGGGGGAAGGAGAAGAGGGGGCTTGAAGAAAGGGCAGCAGCACACAGGGTGGGGCCCCGGGGGTGGGCGTTAGACGGAGATGGCCGGGGGGCATTAACCAGGGCGGCCCGAGGGACCAGGGACCGGGCGCCATGCCTAGCCTCCACCTCTCTGTAAGTCCTTACACTGTGGTCGGTAGCTGCCTTATCTATTTTCACCTCTGGCAGGAGCCGGCCGCCGATGTGGGAGCCGGGGCCGCCGATGAGGGACACCACGCCGTTGCAGTCCACCGTGCTGTTGCGCTTGACGCTGCGCCGCAGGCTGGGGAAGATGCGCGACGAGCGGCTGCCCTGGCTGTAGCCGCTGTAGCCGCTGTAGCTGCTGCGGCGCTCGCGCGCCCGGATCGGGATGAAGAGCGAGTCGCGCCGGCCCTCGCTCTCCTCCACCGTGCTGTGCTCGTCGTCCGCGAACTCGTTCTCCGAGCCCGGGTCCCGGAAGCGCCCGGGCCCGCGGAAGCTGAAGATGCTGCTCTTGCTGTTGTGGCGGGAGAGGAAGGGCGAGCCGGGGATGCTGAGCAGGGACTGCAGGGGCGAGAGAGAGCGAGAATGTGAGACCCAGCGGTCCCTGGACTCCCGGGGCCCAGCCCCCAGCCCGGGGACCAGAGCACAGGTGCGTGTAGAACTTCCCGATGCACGCGGCGCACCAGGGTCCAACGGATTCAGGAATTCCCACACCCCTACCCCACGCCCACTCCCGCACCTCGCACGCTCCACGCGGTACCCGCGATGGTCACACCGCACACCCTGTGTGGCTCCTCCTGCCAATCACGCGCCCCCTCCCACCCGGTGATAAAGCCGACTCAGTAACCTCCCCATGGGAAGTCTGAGTGACTGCCAATGGTACAACCCCCAGTGTAAACCAGCTGTGAATGACAGAGCTCTCAGCGTTGATATTTTCAAGTCGAATCTCCTTTGCCGCCTAATTGCCTTCCTCCACCCCACCCCCCCTTTTCTCCTGCCGGTCCTCACTCCCTAGGGAATGTTATGCACCTGGGTATTTCTGTGGCTTAACGTCTGCTACTGACCACCCTTGAACAACTTCTCTGCAACAGAAGTGTTGCAAACTGTACTCAAAATGTAAGTCTCCCTGTGGCCAAGTCTCTGAGGAATTTAAAACTTCTCCTGACTTGTGTTACTGCAATGCTTATGAAAACCATCGATCAAGCTACACAAATGTATCGCATTTTATAAGCAATTGGCTTTAAAGACAAAACTTATCACATATTTTATAATTGGTTTTCAACAGAAAATTATATTAGAATGCATTTCTCAATGAGATGGATGGGATTTTTTTTTTTTTTTTTTTGTCAACTAGAGGTTAAATATTTGCTGGTGGTATTACTTATCATTAGAATGAGATACTTTCTAGTATCCTTTTCACTGGAAGACTACTAGGAGCAGAAGAATTATGTTATAGTACTGTTATAGTAATTCTTCCAACTCCTTCCAAGTTATCTGCCAAAAATGACACAGCAAACCATCAGCAAAATTTATTATACTGATGTCTCAGCGAAAATTACATTAGGTCCTCTTTAAATTCTGTTGAAAACAAACTGCTAATAGCCCAGCTCTTGCCAAGGGACTGGATACTTGGTTATTAGTGGCTTTGCTTCTCTTGATCTCTGCAAATGATTACTTATTTATATTGATAAGGGTTCCTCTTTCACATAAAACTACCTAGTTTTATGATCTTCTGTATATATAGAAAATTGAAAATGAATCTTGATATGAATGGAAGGGGAGAGAGAGCAGGAAAGGGGAGGGTTGCGGGTGGGAGGGAAGTCATGGGGGGGGGGGGGGTTGGGAAGCCAATGCAGTCCATAAGCTGTACTTTGGAAATCTATATTCATTAAATAAAAGTTAAAAAAAAAACTACCTAGTTTAACCAAACAGAAAAGCATGGAATAATCAAAATATCATTAATGTGTAATCAAATCATTCTAATCACATAGGTTTTACCGGCAAGCTAGGCTCACTGCTTTATGAGACTGTCCACCACGTGATCCGAGGATGTCAGCCCACGTGGTCACAGATGCGTTTGAACACGTAACCTCACATTTCACTTTTTTTTTTTTTTTTTTTGACAGGCAGAGTGGACAGTGAGAGAAAGAGAGAGAGACGGAGGGAAAGGTCTTCCTTTTGCCGCTGGTACATCCTCCAATGGCCGCTGCGGCCAGCGCATCACACTGATCTGAAGCCAGGAGCCAGGTGCCTCTCCTGGTCTCCCATGTGGGTGCAGGGCCCAAGCACTTGGGCCATCCTCCACTGGCACTCCCGGGCCACAGCAGAGAGCTGGCCTGGAAGAGGAGCAACTGGGACAGAATCTGGCGCCCCGACTGGGAATAGAACCTGGTATGCCAGCACCGCAGGTGGAGGATTAGCCTATTGAGCCGCAGCGCTGGCCTCACTTTTCACTTTTAATAGATGTATGCAGACCTGAGCGACAGCCACCCCACTGCTGAACTTCCAACACCCAGCACTCCCAATTACTAACTTCAATCTGAACAGAAATATCTAAGCAGCAGCGCAAAAAGCCTCACAATGAACTGAAGCTCTCTGGATCGAGGGAAATGTTACAGATGCTAATTTTGTTAACTGCCTTTCATCAGACATCCTAAAGATGTCTACACCTCAGGACAAGGGAGAGGCGGGTGAGAGGGACACGCTTTCCTCGTGCAGGGAGGGAAAGGGGTGCTGGAAGGAGAAGTGGGAAGGGAGGATGGGTGGGGGTGGGGCCGTGGCCGGGGCCGAGGTGTGCAGGGCTGCTCTCAGGCCCCGGGATGCACTGTGTGAAAGGCCTGGCAAACAAGCTCTTGAGACTGTGCTCAGGAAGTTCCCAAGAGCCTCAAAGGGCGAGCCCGTCCAGCTGGAGGAAACTTGGCAAAGCACTGGCCTGAGACAGTCTGCCCGAGGGGGACTCTGAAGGAACTCTGACACCAGTTTTTTAAATGGATGAGACTTTTGCTTTAGGGTTTAGTTCTTTGCACCTCTTATCACAGGAGGGGGCTGTGGCAGCATGGTGCGTATCCCATACCTGCTGGGGAGACCTATTTTGATAACTTTTGGTGAGAACCCTGGAAGGGCCATGGGACTCCTCCTTACTTAATACATGCCCTTATCTCTTTGCTGTGGAGAATCCATTTCCGGTGCTACACTCAAAATGCCTCCAGTTCTGGCGGCTCCTTAGAAGGTACAGAGCCCCCAGGCCCAGACCTCTGCCTTTTCTTCAGGCAATTCTAGTTCTCCCGCAGTCCAGCCTCCCACCTGTGTCTCTCCCGGGGGACTCAGTCTCTTCCTGCCCTGGCTCTAAGCAGCCCACGTGCTTCTGAGATGCATAATTTGATCCCTAGGGACCCCATGGAGGCAAACCAGTCACCGAGGAGCTCATTTTGCATGAATTGCTAAGTGTTTAGGGACTGCAAGAACTGCGGGCACTCTGGCTTTGCTCCCCAGCCCCACTCTCCACCAGAGAGGATCCCAGATCCGTAGGAGCAGACTGGCCCTGGGTGACTTAGGGCAAGGGGAACCCTGGTTGGTGAGTGAGCCAGTTCAAGGAGGTGGTTGAGGCTGTAGCTTTGGATTGCCTGGTCTGCATGTAAGGAACTTCCTGTTTGCAAAAATCTTTCCTGCAAAACCAGGGGTTTCTGCCCCCTTTGCCAGGCAGTGGCATTACGGCTGCTTGCTTGGAAAAACAAGCCCTGGGGTATTCAGGACTTGGGATGATGGCCCTCGCATTCCATAGAAAAATTGCACTTGGGGAGCTCAGGGCATCCATGGGCTTGGAAGGATTCGGATGTCTGAAATGTCATCAATGGGGTGTGTGTGTGTGGTTTAAAGGTTCTATTTCTATGCCAAAGTTAGTTTGTAAAATGTGACCTGGGGACCCCTGCTGGTCCCTGAGACTGTTGTAGCAGGGCCCACGAGGTCAGAATTATGTCAGGTTAATAATGAGATGGGGGTCGGCGCTGTGGCGTGGCAGGTGAGGCTACCGCCTGCAGTGCTGGCATCCTGTGTGGGCACCAGTTTGAGCCCTGGCTGCTCTCCTTCCCATCCAGCTCTCTGCTATGGCCTGGGAAAGCAGAAGATGGCCCAAGTTCTTGGGCCCCTGCACCCGTGTGGGAGACCTGGAGGAAGCTCCTGGCTCCTGGCTTCGGATCAGCACAGCTCCGGCTGTTGCAGCCAGTTGGGGAGTGAACCAGTGGATGGAAGACCTTTCTCTCTCTCTGCTTCTCCTTCTCTCTCTGTGTAACTCTTTCAAATAAATAAAATAAATCTTAAAAAAAAAAAAAAGATTAGAGAAAACAAAACCATAGTGGCCGACTGCAGTGGAATGAAGTAACAACGGGGTTAAGGTTAATGAGGATAGAGAGAGGTTCATGGGGATGGGAGCAGGAGATTGTGCCGTGATAAAATGAACAGGGGCTGGCAAAATAAATAAATAAATGAATAAATATGAACTGGGCAGTGAGAGCTACAAGGAAGAGGAACACAGTGACTCATCTTTGGGAACAAAGAAACGATGCTGAGGACAGTGCCACCGGCGGGATGTGCCCTGTTCTCCACCTACACCCTGGCCGCATTCCTTTAAAATGGGCAGTGGAACGGAATCCAATCCAACCCCTTGGGGATTTGGGTAGTAGGTTTTGATACCCCAAGCTATCTATTTTATGACGACGTTCATGGCAAGAGAACCGGCCACCAGTTATCCACTAGGCCTCTCCCCTGTCTTTCTCCCAGTTCCCCTTAGGTATTAAGGCTGGAGAAAACCGGAGGCGTGCAATGCACGGCTCGGCTAACTTTTCCGCCTGACTCCGTGTTCCTGGAATAATTAATTACCAGGATGGGCCATGCTCGAATCAGGTCTCCCACGGAGCCTCAGGGTTCCTGCTGCTATTTTTACCGACGACGAGTGACATGGGATTCCTAAGCAGAGGCGTCCGGGGTGCGTTCTGTGCTCAGGGGAGACACGGGCTGGCACGGAACCCACCCGTGCGTTCGGGCAAGGCAGCGCAGTGCAGGGCCAGCCGCACCTGCCGGCAGTGCCTCCGCCCCGGGGACGCTCACCTGGTTCATGATGGAGAATTTCCTCCCAATCCTGTTGTCCGGCAGCCGGAAGCCCTTCCTCCGCAGCCCATCCTCCGACTCGGACTTGAACACCTTCTCGGGGTCCCCCTTCTCCTCGCCCTCTGATAGCTCCTTCTGCTTCCTCTTCTTCCTCCGGTTCCGCCGCTCCTTGGCGCTCTTGGAACTCAGCTTGGAAATCTCGGATGAGCTCCGCGGGGAGCCGGCCCCCTCCTCCCCTTCTTCCTCGATGGCATCCTCTGACACGGTCCCCGCCGAGGTGGCCATGGCGGCAGCCTAGGAGAGGAGCCACAGTCACATTTGAGACCAGAAGTCCCCTTCTCCCTCAACAAGTCGGTCGCAGTTAGCAGCCGGCACCCCCTTTCCTGCAGGGATAACAGGGCGGGAAACCAGGAGGAGGGCAGCGCCACCTGCTGGTGGACACCGCGGCCACAGCCTGGCCACCTGCACCGGCCCTCTGTTGGCGAGAGCAGAACCCACAGTGCTGACCTTGGGGCTTGCTCTTTGGAGTATCTCGGCCAAGGATGCAACTGCATTCTCGGCACCACAGGCCACTTTGTGAGAACCTTCTGGAAATGAACGCTAGGAAACCACGTTACTTAGATGCTAGGGACACAACCACCGATGCTCGTGTTTGGATAAGGGTCAGCAAGTTAAGTGAGGGCAGGAGATCTTTTTGCCTGTATCCTCTTTTCTATTAGCAACAACACTTTCCATGAGCAGAGGGAACCTCTGCAGGGGCTCCTCCTGTTTTTCTTCGTGGCAGGCAATGAATGCTTAGATGAAGCACTCCAGAAACCGCCCTGCTGCCTACGTTTTCCTTCCGGGTCATCAGAGCGGCTGACCGGCTGGGAAATTCAACAACAGGTCACGTCCGCAAATGATCTGGTCGTGAAGACAAATGGACCAATTGGTTCAACCACGAGTAGGGGTTCTTTGGGTTTTTTTCATCAGACTGGCGAGCTCTGCGTGGCGGTGTGCCTACACAGCAACACCCAGAGGCAGCCTCGGTCACTGGGATCTGCCCGAAGCCCAGGGCGGGCAAAGAGCCCACCACCAACCTGCGCCTCTTCCTGCTGCTTCTTCAGCTGCTCCAACATGGCCTTGAACTCCGCCTCCTTCTGCTCGGCCTCCTCCAGCGTGGCCTGGTTCTGCTCCTCGTAAGCCATGGCCACCACAGCCAAGATCAAGTTCACCAGGTAGAAGGAGCCCACAAAGATGACCAGGACGAAGAAGATCATGTATGTTTTGCCGGCTGCTCGCAGAGTCTGCAAAAGCAGAGATCATTTTCTGAGTCAGCTGAGTCAACTCAACAGGGCTGGGAAGGCTCTGTGGGCCGTTTGAAGGGGGCAGCCCGTCCTGTCGGGGACACATGGTGTCCCCACTGGTCACACGGCCTCATCCTCAGCTCACAGTAAATGGAAATACTAACCTCCACCCATGGTGACAGAGAAATCCCCTCCTGTTTCCAAATTCTCCCCACATCCTCGTTACACAGAAAAATGCTCTCTCTCTCTCTCTCTCTCTTTTTACTTTCAGGGAAAAATGCGCTGAGTTAAGAATTCTATTTGACTTCAGTGGCTGGCTGGAAGACAGTTCTAAAGGAAAGAATGCAAGACTTTGCCTTGTTTATCTACTGGTCCTCAAAGAACATTAACAAATTCCCTCCTGGGAACCAGGTCCCAGTCACAGGAGGTCCCCTTCTTGAGTGACACCTACCTTATCTTTTTGCAATAGGGTGCGTTTTAAAAAGAGAGACAGGGCATAAAAGATAGCGGGAAGAAAATAAGAAGATCCTAGGCTCCTTCTTTTCACTAACAGTGAGCACATGGCCATGTAAGAACAACTGGGTTTTAGAACAAGTACACGGCCGGTGCCACGGCTCAATAGGCTAATCCTCCACCTAGTGGTGCCAGCACACCAGGTTCTAGTCCCAGTCAGGGTGCTGGATTCTGTCCCGGTTGCTCCTCTTCCAGGCCAGCTCTCTGCTGTGGCCCAGGAATGCAGTGGGGGATGGCCCAAGTGCTTGGGCCCTGCACCCCATGGGAGACCAGGAGAAGCACCTGGCTCCTGCCTTCAGATCAGCGCGGTGCGCCGGCCACAGTGCGGCGGCCATTGGAGGGTGAACCAACGGCAAAGGAAGACCTTTCTCTCTGTCTCTCTCTCTCACTATCCACTCTGTCTGTCAAAAAAAAAAAAAAAAACAAAAAAAAAACAAAAAAAAAACAAAAAAACACTAAACACAACAACAAGTACACGTGACCATATTCCCCAATTTTCATCTTTATTCTCTCCCTCACAAGTATTCAGTGGAGGGCCGGTGTTGTGGTGCAGCAGGTTAAGCTGCTGCCTGCAAAGCCAGCATCCTACATCAGGGCACAGGTTCGAGTCCCGGCTGCTCTGCTTCCAATCCAGCTCCCTGCTGGTGCAGCTGGGAAAGCAGTGGAGGATGGCCGGAGAGTTTGGCCCTGCCCCCACACGGGAGAACCTAGGGGGAGCTCCGTGCTCCTGGCTTGGGCATAGCCCAGCCCTGGCTGTTGCAGCCGTTTGGGGAGTGACCCAGTGGATGAAAAAATCTTTCTGTCTCTCTCTCTTCTCTCTGCCTTTCAAAATAAATTTTTAAAAAGTATTTAATGGCACATAGCACCAGTCACAAATATTTTATGGGAAAGACTTGCATCTGAGTGAACTGTCTAGTAGAAAAGGGAGAACTCATTTGGCGGTGTGAACGGGGCGCTTTCCTTATAGAGGGCCCCTTCGTCTGTCACGGGGCCGGAGTCAAAGAGCAAATTAAGGCACCGCTGTGGGACTCTGAGGCGGGGAGAGCCTGGGCAGTCGCCTGCAACTCCTCTTCCATTCCAGCCAGCGAACTTCAGCACTGCGCCGGAGTCACCGGAGTTGCCCAGCAGAACGGGACTCAGCCTGCTTTCAGCTGTGCCAACTCCAGAAGTGTTACAAATCTCAGACATGGAGATGCGCTCAGACTCCCAAGGTCCCTGTGTGCAGATAGCCCATCTCTTTAGCATCCGGCACAGGGCCATGTACAGGGCGGTATTCAGTATTTTTTCTAGATGCCCTGAGCCCCAAACCCAAAACGAGAGGGTGAACTAACAGGAAGTAGGCAGAGACAGCAGATTCCTGGGCTGGGTAAGAAGCTGCCAAGGTGGAGAGAGCTTCGACAGCTCCACGTGCCTGTGCATCCAAGACACAAGGCACGGGAGCCGGCAGAACTCACTGGACACATGACTGACTTAACATGGAAAGAAATCTACCCCGCCGGGGGTCCCATTGGACAGCTTCCCCACGGCCCTCCTTCACAGAAAGCCCCCAACCCACCTGCCCTCGTGCAAACTCCACCATGGGGGGTGGGGAGGGAGAGGGATTACTCACCAGCTGATACAAGTTTTCCCAATAGTCCTGGGTCATTAGGCGAAACAGCGCCAGGAAGGCCCAGCTGAAGGTGTCGAAGCTCGTGTACCCGTAGTTGGGGTTCCTGCCCGCCTTCATGCACTGGTAGCCCTCCGGGCATTGCCTACAGACAGAACGGGCACTTCAACGCTGGTCAGAAGCACCCGCCCATCCATGCCCTCCGAGAGGGTGAATACCGTGACTCCGCCCACTCCATGACAAGGAACAGCGCACAGAGCCAGGCCAACAGATTAGAGGGCAAGAGAATGGGACACAAGTAGGCACACAGCTGGTAGGAAGTCGGGAAGGGGCAGGCCAGGTCCGAATCAGCAGATATCTTAAGAACGCGGCTTCCCGTGCTCTTCCCCAAACCTAGGAATTACCCGCTCTGCAGGTGGCGTCTGTGCGTCTGCACTGTGAGCGGTGAGGCCAGGGGATTCTCGTGCCTGCCCCGAGCATGAGAACTGCTGTCCTAGATTCCTACCGGTGGGCAAGTCAGCCAATCCAACCTCAAGCCAACTACCACCTCCAGTGCCAAGGGCCCCAGAAGTTCCCCTTCACGGTCTCGGCTCTCCTGGCCCTCACTGTTGACAGCCTAGCTCATGCTGGGGATACCAGGGACCCCCTGGTTACATGACTTCCTCTGCTTCTGGACTCACTGGCTGTGCCTTGCCATGCGGTCTCTAGTATCTACCTCGGCACGGGGAATTCGGTGAACTTGGCAGCTGCTGGGGCCGTGTTAAAGCACCAGTGCCTACTATACCCATTTTATGGGTGAAGGAGTTGAGGCTCAGAGGAATTGAGTGGCTTCCAGAGGTCACAGGGCTGGAAGCAGCAGAATCATGACACATGTACCTCTGGGCCCTCACCGGTGTGAGGTCAGGGCTCGTGGATTCCGGGTCATCCCTGGGTGACACTGTCCTTACTCTTTACTGTGTTACTTTTGTGATACCATCTGGTGTTACAGAATCTATCCTCCCCCTGCCCCGTACCTCCCGCAGCCAGCTACAGGTGCAACGTCCACTTTGGATGGGTAAATATGAAACAGAAAGAGAATCTGACCCCGACTGTAGGAGCTACCACGCGGGCACAAAGGAAGGTTGAAAACATTGCCCGATCCGATCCACTAATAAGAGGCACAGTGTTTTTAAGGCCAGAGAACCAAAGGAGCCGAGCTACTTACCCAGCGTCAGAGCTGTTCCCACACAGTAAGGGTTCCAGCATGCCAGGAACTATGTAAAAATTTGCTAGGAAAGTGTGAAGAGGGAGGAAAGGAACAGGCAGGTTTAGGTGGACCAGAGATAGAGTTATACTGTTCCCAAGGAGCCAATGGCCTCAGCTCCTAGTAATCCCATATGGGCGCCAGTTCAAGACCCGGCTGCTCCACTTCTGATCCAACATCTCTGCTAATGCGCCTGGGAAAGCAGTGGGAGATGGCCCAAATGCTTGGGCCCCTGCACCCACATGGGGGACCCAGAAGAAGCTACTGGCTCCTGGCTTCGGATCAGTCCAGCTCCAGCTATTGTGGCTACTTGAGGAGTGAACCAGCAGATGGAAGACCTCTCTAACTCTTTTACATAAATAAGTCTTTTTTTTTTTTTTTTTTTTTTTTTTAAACAGGCAGAGTTAGACAGTGAGAGAGAGAGAGACAGAAAGGTCTTCCATGGCCGGCGCCGCGGCTCACTAGGCTAATCCTCCACCTAGCGGCGCCGGCACACCAGGTTCTAGTCCCGGTTGGGGCGCCGGATTCTGTCCCGGTTGCCCCTCTTCCAGGCCAGCTCTCTGCTGTGGCCAGGGAGTGCATTGGAGGATGGCCCAGGTGCTTGGGCCCTGCACCCCATGGGAGACCAGGAAAAGCACCTGGCTTCTGGCTCCTGCCACCGGATCAGCGCGGTGTGCCAGCCGCGGCGGCCATTGGAGGGTGAACCAACGGCAAAAAAAAAAAAAAAAAAGAAGGTCTTCCTTCCGTTGGTTCACCCCGCAAATGGCCGCCATGGCTGGCGTGCTGCACCGATCCAAAGCCAGGAGCCAGGTGCTTCTCCTGGTCTCCCATGCAGGTGCAGGGCCCAAGCACTTGGACCATCCTCCACTGCCTTCCCGGGCCACAGCAGAGAGCTGACCTGGAAGAGGAGCAACCGGGACAGAATCCGGCGCCCCAACCGGGACTAGAACACTAGAACTTGGAGTACTGGCGCCACAGGCAGAGGATTAGTCTAGTGAGCTGCGGCACCGGCCAAATAAATAAATCTTTAAAAAAAAAAAAAACACATTCCACAGGGACATTGGGAACTAAATGTTTAAATATCCCAGGGAACCCAGCCAGGGGAAAAAGAATGAATTTTATTTCACTCGGCTTGGAAGCTTGAATTTTGAAGTGGAATCCAGGGGCACACGCAAAGATGCTCTCAAGTCCCGCTTGCTTGCAAGAGGTGAGGCCAGGACCAATGGTGGGGGCTGCTGTCAGAGGCCTGTGCTCCCTCCACTCCCAGGGAATGGGGACGCCCGCCCGCCCGCCCACCTTCCCCCTGGGGCCCAACCACTCCTTGGAGGCCTGGCTGGCTTGGTGCCGGCCCCGTGGCGGAGGAACCACCTACTTTTGTTGTTGATGTACTCCTCCCAGTCAAAGCCTTTGGTGCCGTTTTCCAGGTAGCTCTCGTTGAAGTTGATGGGCCACACGACGCACTTGTTCCGCAGGTTCCCCATGAACAGCTGCAGGCCGATCAAGGCGAACACGCTCAGGCAGAACACGGTCAGGATCATCACGTCCGACAGCTTCTTCACCGACTGGATCAGGGCGCCCACGATGGTCTTGAGGCCTGCGGACACAGCACCCCGGCGCCGGCCTCAGCCCCCAGTCCTCCCCACCTCCCCACCCACTCACCCCACCCCCCGCCCTCCCGGCTGCTGGCGTCTGCTCTTCCCCACGGGCCTCAGGGCCTTCACACATGCTGTTCCCTTCCACCCGCATTCTACCTGCCTAATAGCTGCTCACTCTTCAGGAGTCAGCGTAAATACCACCTCCTCCAGGAAGCCCTCCCTGACAACCCTCCTTCCTCTGCTGTTACCAGTCTCTGGGAGTTCAGATAAGGAGCACTTTATACTTCCCCTGGGGTAGGGATCGCTATGACGATGAATTCTCCATGACTGTTTTGTTCACGGCTGTCTCTACAGTGCCTATCCCACCGCGGGCACGCGGGACACATTTGTTGAGGCAGCAAATAGAAGAACGAGGGATCAAGGAGGCTTTTAGTTTAGAAAGGGAACACTGGGGAGCTTGAGCGCCCACAGCAAGCACAAGGCTCAGTAACAATCCCCCGCGCATTGCAGAGGTCAGCTCTGAACCCAGGATTCAGAGTTTGCCTTTCCATTAAGGGACGTGTCCCGCTTGCGATGATGACCACGACCTTTGCTCTGTCCCAGGGGAAAGACAAAACTTGAGCTTTGCTTGCAAGCCTTGGGTTCCCACTTAAAGCTAAAGAAGAGAGACTTCGTGACGGCGCAAGGAGCAGTCGTAGGGGGACCTAAACAAGCCTGTGTGGGGCTCTCCTGGGCTGGGACACCAGGCTGCCCGTAGGACACGGATCTCTGAGTTCATGCGTGGCTCTTCTCGGCACGCTCAAGACACCAGGCAATCCGACAGGCACGGAGCCCTCCCGGAGGCCAAAGCACCAGGCAGACCAAGGCCTCAGCAGGGCTCCCATGCCTGATCCCCTGCTGAGGGTGGGGACATGAGAGGGGATTCCAGGGAGTCCCAGGCCTGACCTTGGAAGACCACTCATTTCAGCCAAGCTACCGGTGTCTCCTTGCAGGACCTGAGCCGTACACCTCTAGGAATCTCAGTGCTTCATTTTTACAATGGGGGATAAATGGTTGAGTATCATGGGACTGCTGTAAGGATTAGACATCGCTCAGGGAAAACACGGCACCTGGCCCACGCACTGCCCTCCGCCAAGGGACCCGGCTGGGATGACCCACCGTGGGGCTGACTGCCCAGGAGGCCGGTGCTCTAGGGGTGGGACGGCCGTGAATGCAAGAAGCCAGAATTCTGTAAGCTGAGCTCAGCAGCAGTAGTGGGTGCTGTGCCTCACACAGAACCGGGCACAGGGAGGCACTCTGGATTTTACCGAAGAAGTAAGTGAATGAGAAATCTCTCACACACACAGAGCCCAGAAGAGAGAGCCCAGGATTAGACCTCGCAGGTGCAGGGTCAGGCCCAACAGCCACCCCAGGGACGAGGAAGCAAGGCCCTTCCAGCCAGAGTCCCTGCCTCCTCCCAGGGCAGGGCAGAATGAACAGCAGGCAGGGAAACAAGAGTGGGAACTCTGTCCCTGGCTCAGCCACGAGGCTGGGCCACTGCGTGCAGAGCGGACTTCAGGTCACCTCTCGGGCTCACGCTGCCGGCGCAGAACATGGACACACACACAGGTCCACTCGGAAGCGGACACTGCGGGGCATGTGGCCAATCTTCCCTAGAAGCCTCGAAAAGCAAGACGAGGGGCAGGCGTTGTGGCACAGCGGTGAAGCCATCATTCGGGATGCCCGCAACCCGATGCCTGGTTCCGGTCCTGGCTCTTCCAGGTTCCTGCCGTGGCACAGATGGCGGCTCAGGTGCTCGAGTCACTGACACCCAGGTGAGAGGCCCGGACAGAGTTCCTGGCTCCTGGCTTCAGCCTGGCCTAGGCATTTGCAGACGAGAACCGGCAGGTGAAGGATCTTTTCTCTCTCTCACTCTCTCTCTCTCCCTCCCCCCACACCCCCACCCCCCGCTTTTAGAATAAAAAATAAATAAAACATTCAAAGAATAGGGCAGAGATTTTCATTTGTTGGAGATAAAGTGGCTGACAGTGCAAACTTGTCTTTGACACCTAAGGCACCAGGGAGCTGCTTCGCAGTGCGCAGCCAGGTGGGAGGCACGGGTGGCCTGACCCAGGAGGCAGCCGGGAGGTGAGCGTGCCAGTCCCCTACTGCAGTACTGAGGTCCGCGCGGCTGTGGAGGAACATAGTAGTCCTCTTGGGGCTGGCACTGTGGCTAAGCCTCTGCCTGCGATGCCAGCATCCCTTACGAGCGCAGGTTTTACTCCCGGCTGCTCCACTTCCAACCCAGCTCTCTGCTACGGCCTGGGAAAGCAGTAGAAGATGGCCCAAGACCGTGGGCCCCTGCACCTGCATGGGAGACCCGGAAGAAGATCCTGGCTCCTGGCTTTGGATCGGCGCAGCTCCGACCGTTGAGGCCATCTGGGGAGTGAACCAGTGGATGGAAGACACCTCTCCCTCTGTCTCTCTCTCTCTCTCTCTCTCTCTCTCTCTCTCTGCCTCTGCTTCTCTGTATCTCTACCTCTCAAATAATTTTTTTTTTTAAGCCACAGCCTATGACTCTGGCATCCCATGGGGTGCTAGTCTTGGCTGCTCCACATTTTTTTTTTTTGACAGGCAGAGTTAGTGAGAGAGAGAGAGAGAGAAAAAGGTCTTCCTTTCTGTTGATTCACCCCCTCAAGTGGCCACTGTGGCTGGCACACTGCAACGATCCAAAGCCAGGAGCCAAGTACTTCCTCCTGGTCTCCCATGCGGGTGCAGGGCCCAGGCACTTGGACCATCCTCCACTGCACTCCCAGGCCACAGCAGAGAGCTGGACTGGAAGAGGAGCAACCAGGACTAGAACCTGGGGTGCTGGTGCCACAGGCGGAGGATTAGCCAAGTGAGCCGCAGTGCCGGCCTCAAATAGATAATCTTTAAAAAGAAAAACAGTCCTCGTGGTGTTCGCCTGGGTTAGGAAGAAGGTCTGGGTCCACAAAGCAGCTGGTTTGTTGTTTTGAAAGTCAGGAACTTTACAAAGAGTACTTGAAGCGGCCACGGAAGCACAGCTACTGGGGTCTTCCCTGGTCCTCTGGGAAGAGCTCACTCAGCTCTGTCTCTTCTCAACACCAGTGCTCTCTCAAGGCCCTGTCCATTGTTCTTTCTTTCCTGCCTCCCTCTCTCCCTTCCTTCCTCTTTTTATCTGTCTGAAAGGGAGAGAGAAGAAGAGAAAGAGATTTTCCATCTGCTGGCTCACTCCCCAAATGCCCACAACAGTCAGGGTTGAGCCACGCCAAAGCCAGGAGCCAAGAACTTCGCCTGGGTCTCCCAGGTGAGTGGCAGGGGTCCAAGCACTTGAGCCATCACCTGTCACCTCCCAGAGTGCGTGGAGTTGAGACTGCATCCCAGGCACTCCCTTATGGGATGCAGCGTCCCAGGCAGCGGCTTCACCTGCTGTGCCTCAGAGCCTGCCCCTCCACTGCTACTTTTCTATGCAAATGTTTTCTATTTCTGGGAACTCTTCCGACCGTTCTAATTCATACGACAGGAAATTCTAGGCCATGAGTGCCAACCACCTGCTGTTCCAGGAAGGGGTCCTTCTCAGAAGTTCCTGCGTGTTGGGTGGACACCCGACCTAAACTCAGATGCTTTCCAACAGGCGTTGTAATGGGACAAGAGAGAGGTGAGGAGTTTCTTCGCGTGTAGGGACAGGAGCATGTACATCTGGGAACTTTGTCGTCACTCAGGGCGTGCGTTAGCCTTAAAGATGTCAGTATGCGAAGAGATGCAGGTGCTGGCCGCCCCTGGCTCCCTGAATGACTCCTGCGTCCCTTCAATTGCAGCCACAGATGCTCAGCTCACACAGCAGCCACGGAAGGAGCTCATCTCTCCTGGGAGAGGGCCCGGATGCTCACACACAGATGTCTGGCATCTCTTCTCCGTGAACTAGATGTCACTGCTGATGGCATCTGGATACATGAGGCCAGGAAGCGAAAAAATAATAATAATTTCCCTCAAGGGCTTTGCTTTGGAGCCTGAGGCTGAGATCGTGTGAGATTTCTTTCGGCTTTTGAGAATGTCTGAAGCAGAAACTTAGCTGGAAATGGTTTTCAGCTGCTTGCGCTTCGCAGGGGCTCAGAGGGACAAGTCAACATTCAGCACGAATAATCAGCCCGTAATATTAATCGTGGCCATGGAAAACGATTACTCTCCAAGACTCTCACCCAGGTCACAGAGAAACACTTGGCAGAAGGCTTAGTGGGGGGAGGGAGGAGACCTGGCTCCACGTTTGCATGGGAGGGAGGCACACAATCCCCCGGCAGTACTGACTGTAAGCAGTCCCTGGGCTCCAAGCTGCTGAGACCCCTCCTCCCTCCATGAGGAATGACCGTATCTGCTGGCACCAGCGCCCACCCACTGGAGGGGGCACCAGCACCGCAGCTCGGGAGCTCAGGTTCTACAGATCCGCCGCCAGGGGCTGCCCCACCTAGCTGACTTGCTCCCTCCATCACCAGCACAGGTTGAGAAAGGCTGAGAAGTTGCAGGTGCAAGCCTTGACCGGAGGAGGCAAGCGAGAACGCAGGCCGCTCCTGTTCCGGCTGGGACTGTTTACTTCTTCTGTTGGCTCCTGGCACCGCACGCCGGAACAAGCAAGATCCTGACAATTGATGACCCCAAACAGAGAAGAACATGCCTCCAGATGACTCCCGCAGGGAGCAGTGTGCGCGCGACAAAGTGGGGGGCCCACTGGACAGCGAGAACTCTCGGGAAAGGCTGGCATCAGCGTCTGTCTGAGCACAGACCCACGTAGAGGAAGGTCAGCTGTCTGTCTACGGAATTTGGAGGAGCAGATGAAGCCATGGCTGCAGAATTCCATCCCACGCTACGCCCAAAGGCACTCTGAGCCCCTGTCACCTTCCAGAATGCCCAGCAATCCCCTGAGCGAACAGACAGAGCCGGCTCACGTGGTTATTTCCAAACAGGACCACAATCTTCCAGCGCAGCGATGGCCAGACTATAGACA